AAATCTGTCTGTTTTAGGCAAAGGATTCTAGCCCATTGGCACAGATGAGATATAATACTTCATATAATCTGAACAGAAATGAATTTACTTCATCATTGGCATGGTAGAAAATGTAATTTGTTCATAAAATCTAGATACTTGTGCTGGGTGCTTGTGGCCCAACCCTGTAATCTTAGCTACTTTTAGGAGACTGATATATTAGGATTTAGGTAAGAAGACAACTTTGGCAAACAGATCTGGGTGGAGTTGAGAGTGTAGCTCAGTGGTAAAAACACTTGCTTAGGAGGTTAGTCAGTCCTCAGTACCACAAACAATGATAAACGATAGAAAGAAAAGGAGCTAATGAGTGACTATGGCAGGATATATCAGCAAAGAATGTAAAGACAGTTTAGATTGGAAGTCCATACTGCTAACATGGTAGCAGATATATCTAAAAATGGGCTAGAGCCAGGTTTAGTGGCTATGCCTATAATCCAAAAACCTGAGGAAGTGGAACCAGGAGTTCAGGACCAGCCTGGGCTACATAGAAAACTTTTATTTTTCTTTTTAAAAAAGTAATTGTGGGCTGGGAATGTGGCTTAGTGATAGAGTGCTTGCCTAGCATGCATGAGGCCCTGGGTTCGATTCCTCAGTACTATATAAACAGAAAAAGCCGGATGTGAAGCTGTGGCTCAAAGTGTTAGAGTGCTAGCCTTGAGCAAAAAGCAGCTCAGGGACAGTGCGTAGGCCCTGAGTTCAGTCCCAAGACTGGCAAAAAAAAAAAAAAGAACTGTGAATCTCTGGAACCTTACTTCAGATATTCTAGAACTCCTATGTTATAATGTGATAGGTGTGTAAAGAAAATACTTTTACTTTTCTTTAAGAGCCTTACCACTAGGGGTCGTATGAATCTGCTCAATGTTAACTGTGTCCTGTACATTTGTTAAATTGCTATGGGAATTGGTTTTACTTGAAGTTCAAGACTGTATAGTTTGTTGGCAAAAGGTATACTATAGGTGAAGGAAAAGGAAGAACACAGAAGTAGACAACTATGAGCCATGTTTTGGGCATCATAAGATTAATTAAAGTTCAGATAAGGTTGAATAGGAAATAATTTCTAGATTTTATTAGTGAAGGAATTTTATTAGTGGAGGAGTTTGTATTTAAGTGGAAGAGAGGAAGCCATAGAGGCTTCAGCTGATTTGGAAAGATGAATCAATTAGGCCAGATATAAGATACTGTCATTTGCTCTGGAAACTAATATAGTAGTACTTCCAAGAAAACCAGATGAGTAGTATATGACTAGTAGGAGGCCAAAAAAAGGAGCGCATGTAAAGTACAGATACAAAGTAAGTATGCTGGGATAGAGAGTTTGAAAGTATGTAAGATGATGGAGTAGTAGTGTTAAAAGTAGGAGGAAGTGGTTTTAAGGGGAAGGTGATAAATTGTAGATAATATGGAGCTGGTATAATGAACAGAGTAATATGCCATATAAACAGTTTGTACGGAATGGGTTGTGTTTGGAAATAACAGTGAAATTTCTCTCAAAGGCCTGAAAGTACAGTGAGAAGAATAGTATTAAAAAAAAAAAAGTTTCGGGGCTGGGGAAGGTGGCTCAGTGGTAGAGCGCTTGCCTTGCATGCCTGAGGTCCTGGGTTTGATTCCTCAGCACCACATAAGCAAAAAGAAAAAAGCCGTAAGTGGCGCTGTGGCTCAAGTGGTAGAGCGCTAGCCTTGAGCTGAAGAGCTGAGGGACAGTGCCCAGGCCCAGAGTTGAAGCCCCACGACCGGACCCAAAAATAAGTTTCGATCCAGGTGCCAGTGGCCTGTAATAACTTTATGGGGGGCTGAGACTGGCAGATTCTGGATTTGAGGCCTGCTTGGGCAGAAAAAATTTGAGAGACCCTTTTTTAAATCAATAGCTGAGTGTGGTGATATGCACTTGTCATTCTAGCTATATCAGGAGGATTACAGTTCCTGGTCAGCCTGGACCAAAAAACAAAACAAAACAAAAGTCCACAAGACTCCATCTCAGTGGATTAAGTTGCACATGGTAATACCTGTCATCCTAATTACAATTGGAAGTGAAAAATAATAGCATCGCAGACTAGGCACACTTTCGCAGGAATCAAAAAGCAGTGCAAAAAAGGGATGGGGTCATGGATCAGTAGTGTAGCAAGTATGAAACCCTGAGTTCAAACTCGGTACTGCAAAAAAAAAAAAAAAAAGATGGGAAGAATCAATAGTATGACAAAAATTATTTGACTGTAGCTGTGTGGTTTTATTTGCTGGTCTTTTGGATCTGTTTTTGTGCTAGTACCAATCTGTTTTTGTTGTTTTGGCTTTGTAGTATAATTTGAAGTTGGGTATTGTAGTACCTCCATTGGTGCTGTTTTTACTGAGAATTGCTTTTGCTACTTGGTGTCTTTTGTTTCTCCATATGAACTTTTGGATTTCTATAATTCAGTGAGGAAAGCTATTGGGTCTGGTCTTGGACTCTTAATCCTCCTTAGTAGCTGGGATCATAGGCATGTGCTACCACTGCCAGTTGGGTTTTTTTCGGTGCCAATCCTGGGACTTGAACTCAGGGACTGGGCACTGTCCCTGAACTTCTTTTGCTCAAGGCTGTACTTTGCTACTTGAGCCACGGCTCCTCTTTTTGCTTTTGGTAAATTAGAAGTAACAATCTCACAGACTTTCTTACCCGGGACTGGCTTCCAACCATGATCCTCAGATCTCAGCCTACTGAGTAGAATTTCAGGCATGAGTCACCAGTGCCCGGCCCCCACTGTTTATATATCTATATATAAATATATATACACACACATATATAATGTATATATATGTATATATAATTTGTGTTTTGAGACAGGGCTTGCTATGTTGCTCACGTTGATTTCAAAAGTTTTGCTTATGTGGTACTTAGGAATCGAACCCAGGGCCTCGGGAATGCAAGGCAAGCACTCTACCACTGAGCCACCTTCCCAGCCCCTTTAGTCTTAGTTCTTTCCAGAAGCAGTTTAATTTTGATTATAATAGATTTGAGATTAAAAATATTACTTATTGTCTGTGGGTTGGATATAAAAATACATAATACTTTTTTTTTTTGGGTCCGGTCGTGGGGCCTGAACTCTGGGCCTGAGCGCTGTCCCTCAGCTCTTCAGCTCAAGGCTAGCGCTCTACCACTTGAGCCACAGCGCCACTTCCAGCTTTTTTCTTTTTGCTTATGTGGTGCTGAGGAATCGAACCCAGAGCCTCATGCATGCAAGGCAAGGGCTCTACCACTGAGCCACCTTCCCAGCCCGAATTTTACTTCTTTTTCTTAACCCCTACCTTGGAAAATTTTGTATCTACATTTATTGATTCTGATTTCAGACCATGTGGGAGACAAGATTGTGACCGTAGTGATGGACAGTTATTACGTATGTTTGTATTTTAGAAAGTGGTTTTTTTTTCTTAGTGGGTTGTGGGGCTTGAACTCTGGGCTTGGGCAGTGTTCCTGAGCTCTTCAGCTCAAGGGGAACACTCTACCACTTGAACCACAGCACCACTTCTGATTTTCTGGTGGTTAATGGAGATAAGAGTCTCATGAACTTTCCTGCCTGGGTTGGCTTTGAACCAGATCCTCAGATCTTAGTCTCCCGAGTAGCTAGGATTACAGGTGTGAGATACCAGTGCCTGGTTTAGAAAGTGATTTTACATTCCTTATCTTATTCAAGGTTCACACATTCTTAGAAAAGCTTAATCAGGAATTTATCTTCTTCACCTTGTAATTGAGGGAACTGATAACTGTGACAGTTGTTCAAGTTGTCATATTACAGTAAAGAGTAGTGATGATACTAAAAGATTTCTGGCTCCTGAACCATAGAATCTTTCTATGTTCTCACTTCAGTGAGAAGATAGTGTTTGACATTTGGTAGTATACATTGTTTAACTGCCATTGCTTTGCTTTGCAACCTTAGAAATAATTTAGACAATTTTTGCTGTATAGTCTTTGTCTAATGGAGCTTATGATTTTTGCAATTTATACCCCATAGGGTTGTCATACTTAAAATACTCAGGAAAAAATAATCTTTTCATTATTTTTATTTTTGTCATTATTAACAATTTTCATTTATCTTTTTTTTCCGGTCATGGGGCTTGAACTCTGGGCTTGGGCGCTGTCCCTCAGCTCTTCAGCTCAAGGCGAGCGCTCGACTGCTTGAGCCACAGTGCCACTTCGGGTTTTCTGGTGGTTTATTGGAGATAAGAGTCTCACCGACTTTCCTTGTCCGGGCTAGCTTTGAACCGGGATCCTCAGATCTCAGCTTCCTCAGGAGCTAGGATTACAGGTGTGAGCCACCGGCACCTGGCTCATTTATCATTAATATTTTGATAAGACATAGGTAACCACATATAGTCACATTTTACCACATTGCACATTGTTAGGGTGAAAAAAATGACTTCAGAAAAGTAGGAAAGGCTATGCCAGAATTTATGCATTTAAATCAGTATTGCTTTTCTCTGCAGTGACTTTGAAAAGATACACACACACACACTCTCTCTCTCTCTCTCTCTCTCATATGGTTAATTGGAGATAAACACATATATATATGGTTAATTGGATTTATATGTATCTCTCTCTCTCTCTCTCTCTCTATCTATCTACAGTTACTTGGAGATGAGTTTTATGGGCTTTTCCTGCTTAGCCTGGCTGTGTAACACACACACACACACACACACACACACACACACACACACACACACACACGTGCTATTACTGCTCAAATGTTTATTGGATCTCAGTGTTAAAAAGCTTCAGTATTTCATTTTCATTTGTACAAGGTGTGTATTTACCATTAAATTACCAAGGAACTTAGTCATTAGTTTAGTTTGGAGTTTTTATGAACTTATCATTGGTTTACAGAATATTTTTGGCTGTGGGTATAGATTTAGTAGTGGTTTTAAGGAGTATTTTTGTGGGTGATGGATAGAAATGGGTGGTCTTTGAAATAATCATTACTGATTTGCTTTTTCCATAGTCATCAGATAAGCAGCGAGCCCTAGAAGAAACCAAAGCCTATACCACCCAATCCTTAGCAAGCGTTGCCTATCTGATAAACACCTTGGCCAACAATGTCCTACAGATGCTGGATATCCAGGCATCCCAGTTACGAAGGATGGAATCTTCAATCAATCACATTTCACAAGTGAGCCATGTTATTTTCCTATTTGTCTGTGTGAAACAATATTCACAAGCCAATGTATCATGTTGATGTCTTTTATTATGTGAGATAATGTACCTGTATTATTTGGAAAATACAAATTCAATATTATTTTATTATTTTTGTGGTGTAGTTATTGTGTCTGTAATTAGGAAAGTAAATTTTAATAGATTCTATTAAAAGTTATTTATCATGATAACATAATTAGCTTGGAAGTGAAAATATGTCCTTTATATATGTACTTTATATATGTACTTTATTATTTTAAATAAAGTCTAATGGCTTGGTGGCTTGTTTAATATTTCTTAGGTTTTTAGATTTTATTTTTCTTGGTGCCAGTTCTGGGGCTTGAACTCAGGGCTTGGGTGCATCCTTAAGCTTTTTTTCTCAAGGTTAACATTTGACTATAGACTTTGCTGCCCAGGCTGGCTTTGAAATGCAGCCCTAGCTGGGATGGTAGGTGTGAGCCACTGGTGTGGAGCTCCTAGGTTTTTATTTTTTTTGCAGTGTTGGAACAAACTCTGTTCTGTCACTGAGCTATGACCCACACTTAGGTTTTATGTTTATTGGAATAATACTAGATGTACTTGTGGTACTGGAAAGAATAAGAGACTTAGAAAACCTTACAAAAATAGCTTTATATAGAACTTAAAATTTTTTTTTTAATTAGAAAACTCATGCTCATGAAAATACAGGAACAAAATGGAAAAACAAACTTTTCTGCTGAATCTTTTTACTATTAATACTTTCTTTTGTATATAATACTTTTTTCATAGTTGTAAAATTATAGCTGTAATTATAATAGGTATAGAATTTGTAGTTTTTTTTTTTTTTTTTGTTGGTTGTGGGGCTTGAACATTGGGCCTGTGCACTGTCCCTAAGCTCTTGAGCTCAAGACTAGCACTCTACCACTTGAGCCATAATACCACTTCCGGCCTTTTCTGTTTATATGGTGCTGAGGAATTGAACCTTGGGCCTCATGCATGCGAGGCAAACACTCTACCACTGAGCCACTTTCCCAGCTAAAACACATTTTTTATGATGGTATAATCTTTTTGTATATGCTTCTAGAGGTTGCATGTTGGCATGTTGTAATCATTCTAATATTTTAGGGCCATTTAAAATAATGATACTGCTGGGTGTGGTGATGCACATCTGTAATCCTAGTACTCTGAAGGCTGAGGTAAGAGAATTCAGTTTGAGGCCACTTTGAGCTAGCAAGACCCCTACCTCAAAAAATGAAACAAAAACCACTTCAATGGAAAACTAATTTAATTGGAAATGTAATTTCCAAAAAAATTAAAATGATAAAAGTTTGATCTGCCCCAAAGAGATGTTTAAAGTTGTCAGTTTTTGCCTTTTTTGCCATTTTGAGTAATTTGATGTCATACTATATAAGTGCACTATTTTTTTTTTGGGGTGGGGGGAGTCTGGTCGTGGGGCCTGAACTCTGGGCCTGGGCGCTGTCCCTCAGCTCAGCTCTTCAGCTCAAGGCTAGCTAGCGCTCTACCACTTGAGCCACAGTGCCACTTCCAGCTTTTTTCTTTTTGTTTATGTGGTGCTGAGGAATCAAACCCAGGGCCTCATGCATGCAAGGCAGGCAATCTACCACTGAGCCACCTTCCCAGCCCCAAGTGCACTATTTCGAAACCTAAATAATTACAACTTTCGTAGAATTAAAAGAATTTTAAAATGTACATATTGTTATTTGTATATCTTGAGAGTTCACTACTTTTAAAAATCATTTAATCTAAGCTCGCTCTGTGGCGCACAATGGATAGCACATTGGACTTCTAAAAATCGTTTAATCTAGCCATTTTTGAGTCTAAAAGTTTACCCATTTTTATAAATAATTATCTTTTATATAGTATAATTCTACACTATAATGCTACTTGAAAATTTATCAGACTAGAGGACTTTCATTTTAAATCTGTTTTTTTTTTTGGGGGGGGGGGGTTCAGTCGTGGGCCTGAACTCTGGGCCTGGGTGCTGTCCCTCAGCTTTCAGCTCAAGGCTAGCATTCTACCACTTGAGCCACGGAGCCACTTCCGGCTTTTTTCTTTTTGTTTATGTGGTGCTGAGGAATCGAACCCAGGGCCTCAGGCATGCAAGGCAAGCGCTCTACCACTGATCCACCTTCCCAGCCCCTCATTTTAAATCTGAATTTAACATTTTAAAGGTTTCTTCATATCCCATCTAAACTTCTGTGGACATTTTATCCTTTATTACTTTTGTATTGCTAGAGCAAAAAAGAATTGATGAATTTAATGAGTGAGAGGAAATTTTATTTCAGAAAGGTCCCCTAAAGGGAAGAATCAGTGATATTTGAAATAAATAGATAAACTTATGGAAGGGGAGTTGAAAAATGACTAATTTTTCAAGTTTTGTATTTGATGATTTTAAAATTTTTGCATGTTTAAAGTATTTACAAAGGACCTGAAAAAGTCAGAAGAAAAGAGCTAATATAGAAAAGAAATTAATATAGCCAAGTTCCCAAGAAGTAATGACATTTTGTTAAATGACAGATGAAAATAGGAGAGATTATGTGAGTAAATAAATGATGACAATAGCGAAGAACAGCAGGAGAGAATAATTTATTTTATTACAATTCTGAAGTCCTTACTTAGATAAGAAAAGGAGAATGGGTAACAAGCTCAAGGAAGAAGGTGAATACTTTGAAGGGCACCCTAGATTGTAAGTGTTTGTATTCAGCTAATGAACTTCTATGTATCATATAAAGTAACGTTTGAGTATATAGCCTAAAGCATGCATCTTTTAAAGCTATTTGAGTAGAATAAGTAAAGAAGTAGGTAGAGAGCTGAATAGGATTTCTTGGGCCAGACATTAGTTGGTCATGAATAAAGTAGATAAAAATAAATGTTTGTAAAATAATGTAAGCTGGAATTCTTCTCAAAGCACAGTGGAAGATATAAACATCAATGAATTCAATATTTAGGATAATTTTTATTTAAAATTATATATTTTTGTTGCTTAGATATTTTTGCTTATAAATTAGTTTTAAATTAAATGCCACCTAAGGCTATCGTTGTGTAATTTTGCATAAACATTAGGTTTTGTATACTTCCTAGTGTCCTCTGTGTAGTTTTCATGTTATGAATGAAGGATGGATAACTGAAAGTTATGTTTTACATTTGTTAGTAAATCATTTGTTTATAGAAAATGGGTAATTTGGAGCACACTTATGATTTCAGTAATTAAATGCTTAGTTAAAATGTTAGCTTACTAATAAGAAATTTGAGACATATTAAAAACACCCACTTAGTTGAGTTAATAAACTGTAACTGTTTAATTGCAGATATTTTCCCACACTGATGGGCAGCTAACTGAGGTAGTGTTATCCAGTACAGTCAACTCTCAATTATCTGTGGTAATGGGAAACAAAAATGCATGGATAAGCCTTAAACAATGTTTTATACAGTCCTTTCCTGTCATCTGCTGGGGCCTGAGCATGTGCTTGGGTTCATGAGGGAGATCTGGCAGTGGGGCTCAGGCTTGCAAAGGAGTTCTGGGAGTCAGTATGATTCCTCAAAGCAATATGAAGTATTCTGTAGGAACCTGGACTTGGCACTGTGTGGCTGAAGTGTCATGGGGGAGCCTGCAGCATGCAAGACCAGCTTGGCAATAGCAGTGAGAAGGGTGAAAAAACTGATGACAAGAATAGATACTTTAAATCATACACATTTGCCATCATATTCCTTGGTGTGTGTTCTGGTTACCAGGATCTGTAGCAAACAGTAGTAATTTAAGCAACAGTGAATTTGCATTAGTTTTGGTCTTCTTTGCCAGCTAAACAGTTATTTTTACTTGCTACAGGTGAGTGTTACTATTCAGGTCTCTTCTAAATAAGAATACATTTATTGTCTCATATAATTAGTAGCTTTAGAAAACCAGGATTATACTTAAAATACTTCTCTTAATATTAACATTCTTCTTAAATACCACTATTAGATCTATACATCTAGAAATTTAATGCATTTTATATTGCAGTGGCAAAGAATATCATGAAGCAAAGGCAGTGGTCATTACTGAAACCTGTGCATTTGATTCAAAGAAAACATAGTAGCCATAGTTTCTATTTAAAGATATGTTATAGAAGTAGAAAATATGTGAACTAGTTTGTGAAGTTCATAAAAGGTTATCTTGTAGTTTTCTATGATTTTTTTTAACCTTTATAGGATGAACACTACTTTGAAATAGCTTGTGTGGTTCATAAAAGATTATCTTGTAGTTTTCTATGATTTTTTTAACCTTTATAGGACTAACACTACTTTAAATGTGTGGTTTAAAACAAAAAAAATCTCTATTTATATATACATCAGAAAGGCTTTACTTAACTTATCCAGTGACATTTCTTTTTCTTTTAATGGTCCTGAGGTTTGAACTCAGCTTCCCATTTGCTAGATGAATACTTTACCACTCCTCTAGTACTTTTTGCTGACAAAGACCAGTAGTACTATTTTTTTTGGGGGGGGTTCTGGTCGTAGAGCCTGAACTCTGGGCCTGGGCGCTGTCCCTCAGCTCTTCAGCTCAAGGCTAGCACTCTACCACTTGAGCCACAGCACCACTTCCGGCTTTTCTTTTTTTTTTTCTTATGTGGTGCTGGGGAATCGAACCCAGGGCCTTATGCATGCAAGGCAAGCACTCTACCACTGAGCCACCTTCCCAGCCCCTATTTTGTTTATTTTTATTATTGTTATTATTATTTTTTGTCAGTCGTGGGGCTTGAACTCAAGGTCTAGGTGCTGTCCTACCACTTTGAGCTACAGCACCACTTCCAGTTTTCTGGTGGCTAATTGGTGTTAAGAGTCTCACAGACTTTTCTGCATGGGCTGGCTTCCAACCATGATCTTTAGATTCAGTCTCCTGAGTAGCTAGGATTACAGGTGTGAGCCACTGGTGCCTGGCTTATTTTTACTGTTTTTTTTCTTTTCTTTTTTTATAGTTGTGGACTTGAACTCTGGACC